TGGATCTGGATAAAAGAAATGAGAATCAGCATTGGACAATACATAGTCAGAATAAATAATAAACCACATGGATTCTTTTTCACATAATTATCGTCTCATATATATATATATTTATATTTATATATGCTTTGGTCTGCATAAAGAGACTCTCATTCATTGTGTATTTGGTAGGATTATTTAGTACGACTTGTACTTGCCTCGCATGTTCTAACAACTAAGTAAGAAATATTGCTGTCTTGTAGGTGGATCCTTTCATTTAAAAAATGACATTTATTATTATTTTTTTTCTCCTTAAGGCAATCTACTCGGTGCATTGTCACGTGCACTTTGCAAAATAATATTTGTCGAGAGGTGGATACCTTTTGGTTGGCTACTGTCTTTTGTGGATATTTCACTTTTGACATGCTGCTTGAGGGTAGAATTTATGTAGCGGTTGAGAGTTGAACCCACGTCTTGTAAGAATAAGATCATTGGACTAAGCTACTTTGAGAGCATGTAATGGTTTTGTGAGATTTGAATTTTACCGGCTTAATAATATTTGAATTTTAACGGCTCTATAATATTTGAATATCAAAGGTTTTGTAAAATTCAAATTTTGCAGTTGTACAATTCTAATTTTAACGGTTCTTTCAAAAAAAAATTTTGAACAATAAAGGTTCTGAAATAACACAAAGTCAAAGGATTTAAATTTAATACGATGAAAGCAAAATAAATCAAATTGACATTCCCCACCAAAATACCACACAAGTATCCATCTCTCGAATGTTTCCGATTAACAAAAATATTGTTCAGCCTTCAATGAATGTTGACAATTAGCCGAATTGATTTTTGTATTTTAATTCTCTTCTTTTTAACCCTGTTTCGTATCCACCCGTCTTAGTGGAGCCACTTTGTTAGTGATTTTTTTTTATAATAATAATTTTTCTTAACGCATATGAGAAGTACAAAAATTGCATAATCAAAACAAATAAATTTAAGGCTTTCTTTTACATATATCCATAAAAAAAGAGATTTTTTTACTGTAAAATAAAAATTTGAATGCGGCCTTTATTCACTATAACAGACAATAAGCGAAAAAATATATAAAATAAAACTGGAATCAAGTGAGAGAGAAACCGATAAAAATTGTGAAATGCCAAAATATTGTTTAAATTGGTTATTACAAATTGCAGGGAATATTTCATGTCAAAATAACGTTTTATACATTGAGACTAATACAGTATAAAATATTTTATGACTTATGAGGTGCATTGCTGGTTTTTTTTGGGAACAAGATGAATAGATGCATTAGTTTGGTAATTATGACGCATTTTTACTGTAATTATTAGTGTTTTTTGTTGCAATCGAAGAAGATTAAAAATGTTTACAAATAAAAAATATAACGGTTTTTTGAGATTTAAATTCAGGGGTAAACAACTAAGCAAAAATTCACTCCAATTCAAAAAGTATTTTGCAATTTTCTCTTTATTTAATCTATTAAAACATCTGAAATGTGTCCAAAAGCCTTCACTGAATTGGCAAAAGTCAAGTACAATCAACATAAACATTCCATATTGTCTACATTTTGATCAATCACAGAAAAAATATTTCACTAACCCAGCCTGTCAAAATATTCAATTTTTATCTCATTTCAAAAGCTCAAAATTAATCGCAAGCTAATGATTGAAAGGCATAAATTTTAAAATGAGCCATTTTCAAAGTCTTTAGCCATTCCATTTCATGATCGATTTAAAAGCTTCGCACCCTTTCGAAAATATATTTTTTTTCTGCTTAATAATTTCAACAATAACAGAAGAAAAATATAAATATTAATAAACCTTATTTCGAGTCGTTAAATGTTCAGTATCTACACGATACGAGCTCATTTCCCACAATCAACATTGCTAAAGGAAATAAGAAACTTGAAGCAATTTAATTCGATTCTGTTATTTCCAAAATATATAAAAAAAAATCTTGAGTGAATTGAAAGTTTTTTTTTCATTCTTTAACGAGTTTGAAGCAATAAGCAGAAATGCAATTCGCTAAAGATTTAAAGTTTGTCGTCATTTAATTGTGCAACAAAGCGTAATTTATTATCTGCTGATATGAATGCGATTTTAAGAAAATTTATTGCAAAGTCCATCTCATTTCAGCCTTACAATTTTTTTTTGCTTATTTTTATGCGAGAGAGTTGAAAGTAAAAGAAATTAAGTCGATCGGAGGTTGAATTTATCGAAAATGTTAATGAAGAGATCGTTTATGCAACAAAATATTCTAGATAGCCTTTTTAACTAGTGCTGAGTACTGAGTGAAGTTGAAATAGCGGCTTTATGTCCTTTGTACTTGAAATTAAGAACAATTTGAGGAATTTTAAGTTTTGAACACATTATTTTCAAAGTAAACTATATTTTAACGGTTTTTTGATATTTAAAGTTCCTTTTTTTGAATGTTAATCAAAAGTCAATAGTAAGTTCTCACTTCGAAAAATATATCTTTAATATTTCACGAATACTAGCATTTCAAATATCAATTTATATTATATATCATGCAAAAAAGTGGCAAGAATCATTATTAAACAGTTGTAAAACATTTAAAGTCTTCATTTAACTTTAAACTTAACAAAACTTTGTAAAAAAACACGTGGATCTAGAATTTGCAACTGAAGTGTGAATTCTAAGAACCAAGCTAACATAAAAGCATTAAAACTATGAAAAATTTCACAGAAAATGCAACGAAGCTGTTGCTTTTACAGCAATATAGTCTCCAATCGTTCAAAAGCTTCCAACCTTCAACATTCCTTCATCTCGGCATCTGAACTTTACAACTTCGCTCTTAATCCCTGACTTAAAAGATTATTCTCTACATTTTTTCACTAACTCGAACATTGTGGTCGATCGACAGTACATAAAAATTGCGTTTGAACTATGCAAAACAAGTATAACCACTTAAGTTGATCGATGGAGCTTTTGTGACGTTGATTTATTTTTTTTTTCTCTCTGTCGATTTTTTTATTAATGCAAAATAAAGAAGTTTATAGACTGTTTATTTACTTACTTATTTATTGGTATGCTGCTGTATTATTGAGCATTATTAAATATATGAAAATTTATTTTGCGATGCTTAATGAAATTGTCTCTGGACTTTATTATTGGTTGTTGATAACTTTATCAATGCTTGGTGATTTCATATTGACACGAGTTATGCATAAAAGCAGTGAAATTAATAAGTCTGTGAGCATGTCGAGTTGAGTTGAATGAATTTTCGCTGTGAATGACTTTAAGGAATGGTTTTTGGATATGAAGGCGGTTAGGTATTGAGTTTCTTCACTTGAGAACCTAGAGGACTAGACTAGAATCTTTGTAAGGACTATTTTACTAAACAGAGCATTAGTTATGAACAATATGGTTTCAAAATCTTTCATTTAACAAGACAAAGTCTCAAAGGAGCTCAATGATCATCAATTTAGCTCATAACTTCTTGTTTAAACATTGTGCATTATGAAATTTCCATGATCCAACCTATAATTTGCATAATTTTGCTATCAAATCTTGACTCCCTAACAAATCAGCAAAAAATAAAATGTTCAAGTCAAGCATATTTTTTGATGAATCTTTACAAGTTAATTGTCTTTAATTTGTTATTTCGTCGACTTCGTTGTTTTGAGAAACGCAATAAACCCCAAAACCTTTCAAAGCATCAGCTTCTTAAGTATTTAAATTTCTGGAAAGAAACGCAAATTTTCATCTCGATCATCATGCATCCACATCCAAGAAGAATAAGAGAAGAAAATTAAATAAGAAACATCACTAAAAAAATTGATCCATAGCCGATAAGTTAATGATTTGAAGCGGTGCAGCTTATATTGAAACAAAAGCATCAAAAAAAACGAGCAGTAAAATGAGCGTTTTCAAGCAAGAAAAAAAAATTGTAGCAAAAATGAAAACCTTTGGAGAGCCTTAAGCTATGAACGATGTAAGAGAAATGAGAGAGAAAAAAAAATTCTGTTTATAATTTTTTTCATCTTCACGTTTATTAAAAAAAACGAATATGTGTATTCGCTCTAAGCAACTTCATAAAAATGCCTTCTTTATTCTTCTTTTACAAAATAATTATTCCCTTCCAATATTTCAATCTGATGATTCAAATGAATCGTTTCCCCCCAACTCTCTCATTCTTTCCCCCCTGAAAACTTTTTCTCTTTTTTCATGCAAATAAGAATGTTCGCAAAGTTCTATAGAATTTAGGGTATATGCAAAAATATATATAACATAAAAAAAACAACACAATAAATTACAAGACGAGAAAAACCACACCAGAAATATGCGACATTACAAAATAACAAATTGAATGCTCCACAAATACATATCTTCTTTTGCCGCATTTGCAATAAAAACAACAGTGGTAAAAAGGAATAAAAATAAAGAAGACTGAAAAGATTGATAAGTTTGAAAGTCATGGTTGGTGGGTGGATAAAGCGCATTTTTCTTACTTTAGTCGATTGAAAAATTACAATATGAGACCAAACTTAAACAAAGATTAAAAATGTAACAACATTATTTTGAAGATCTAAAAGCCCCTTTTTTAAAAAAATTAAATTTTGTGTTTCCAAAAACACCTTCACTTCGAAAAGTTTTTTGCGAAAATTTTACATTTAGCGGAAAGATTTGATAAAAACTTTTATTTCATTTTGTTGAAAACAGTGGCAAGAATCAGCCACAAAAAGTTTCAAAGCAATAACTTACTAGTTTGCAAAAAAATCAACAGAAAAAGTCAACTCAAAAAACCACGTGGTTTTCAATTTTTCATAAAATCATAAAATTTACTCAGTAATGTCAGTCAAATACAAACTGCTCGTTCTGTCCCACTCACAATTATTAAAAGCTGCCCCAAAAAATTGTCCCAAGACATAAAAGACATAAGAAAATCAAATGCATTCAACGAGTCTTCCTTTATGTATGAACTTATGTCACCGTATGTCGCGATAAGAATCTTCATACTCACCTCAATCAAATAATGAGTGCATGCATACAAAAAATGTCATCATAACTTACAATACTGTTCCTCAACCAAACAAATTCTCGAAAACAACAAACGGCAATGGGCACGGTGCACGTATCCATCATGCAAGGCAGGCAAAGAAGATGGTAAGAAGAATATAAAAAGTGCTGTTATGTCGAGGAGAGAAAAAAGAGAGATCTTCATATGATGGCATCAAAATAACATTATATCCGTTCCACGAAATATTTTTATATGTGTATATATGCATATACACAAAAATATGTATCGGAGATTTGTGGTTTGCACCGAACGCATAAATTAAAAGTAAGCACAAACAGAACAAAAATAAAAATGTGAATCGTTCAGAGCATGTGGTTGTCTCTCGTTTTTTTGGACAGAATCATTTACGATTTCATTTCTGTTATTTATTTTTTTTTTGGGTAGAATTTGATCTTTGAAATGATAGATTAAATACGATAGGCATTAATAGATCAAATTTCATGATATATGAGCGTTTTATTGAGCGATGTATGCATTAAGATAGGCTTAAAATGCAGTTATGATTGTAAATTTGGTTATCTACTATCTAGTAGTGTCGTTTATGTCATTATGGCGCTCATGTGTCGGAATTGCATCTTCACACAGCTTAAGTTAACTTGGAATTCCATTATGGTGTTGTGATTTGTGAGTTTTGGTTGGAATTTGAGGATTAAGAAGAGGTTTGTAGCAATAAAATGCTACAATTCATCAAGAACTGAATGTTTGCATTGTTAGAACAATTGGAAATCAGATTTATTGGTGAATGTCCATAAAAAGATCTTTTTGAAGCCACTGGTTTATAGTGCTTATACATTGAAAGTCTCACTTTGACAAACTAGCTCATGAAGGATAAGATTTGAGATTTTCCAACCTTTATCACAACTGATTAAAGATTTTTAAATCTGTCAGAATTACTCGATATCAACTGCTTAGCTTTCAAGCTGTAGATCTCCCTATAAGTCGGATTTAATGGGAATCGAACCCACGACCTCAAAAGAGGCGATCTCTTACCACTCGATCAGAGAGATTCCTGCCACTCGGCCACCTAGGTACTTATATCACTTCGGCTATCCTTCATACACATATAGCCAGTTTCAATGCAAGCCCTTTGCTCAGGTCTATCTACTACAAGCCATATCCACACAAGCCTATCTTCATTTCTTCGAAAAAAACCCAAAGTTCATCAACAAAGCATCACAACAGACATCCATATTCACACAATGTCATAAAAGATCATGAATCGTATCTCATTTAAAGCTCATTCGCTTCCTACAAATGACAACAAGCGCATTACTTTGTGCTCATCTCAAAAAATGACTAACAATCATCCACGAACCTTAATCCCCAACTCATTTTTCCTTCCATGGCATTAATTATCAACATTTCGGAAATTATCAAAAAAAAAAGTATCCAGAAATAAATGAACAGAATGATGAATTTTTCGTATGCTGTATGAAATGAATTGCACATTAAATCATAAATAAGTGAAATGAAGAGGAGAGAAGGAACAGAAAAAAAATCTCTCACTGAATATTGTGTGCATTAGCAGAGCAACGGGCCCATTGTGTGTGCCTTCGTTTAATTCCATTCAAAATTAAATGGAATATTTATACTTGATGTGTTGTTCATTTGTTCATGAGAATTGATAAGCATCAAAAAAATTGTTCCTGTACGAATTAAAACCATGCTAACCGTGAAAATTCATTTTTCATGTCCTCCTGCACGCCTCGTAACTGATATTTCGGATGATTTTTTTGCGTCATAAATGCTTTTCTTGCCGTATGATTAATATCTCAGATTTTACACTCTTGACACACACCGAAAAAAAAAATATTCAGCCTTAATGGTAACTGGCTTGAGAACGAGATGCGAAAAATTGAAGTTCGAATGTTGAGTTTTTGGATGGAGGTGGGTTTAAGGCGCATTTTTGGTGTCAAATATTGAATTTCAGCACCAACGAAGTTTTCACAGTCATTTTTCGAACTTTAACGGTTATTTTTTGAATTCTTACAAATCTGACAACTTCAAATCGATATCTCTGAACTTCTCAGTCCATCCAGCCACCCATGCGAACCAATCTGTCGCCACAATGCTTATCCATCCATAAATTAAGCTCGAAAAATTCTTTCCATGCAATTTGCGGTACAAAAATCTTTCTTTTCTTTGACTTCACAACATACGTAATAAATTGCACCAAGAGCTCACACAAAGTAAAGTGATAAGAATCCATTAAAATATTTGCTCACAGCAGAATAAAACAAGACATAGCAGTAAAGTGTTAAATATACACAAAAATCAGCAAATGACAAATGTATTTCATTAGTCAAATGGTAAAAGTTCTTCTTAAAGTTGGGCAATAAAGGGAATCATTTTTTGAATGTTATGGATGTTGCAGGAAATGCTGTTAATTTTTCTCGATATTGTGTGAGATTGGATTGGAAAGAATATGAGATTTTATCGAGGTCAGAACTAAGGTTTTGAAATGTTCAAAAGATTTGATCCCGAAATGAGCCTTCTAACATCAATTTTTAAGCTTCACATCGCCATTGCCTCATTACAATCTTTTAACCATCAATCTTGCCTTCTTAAAGTTTCATTCCTTTGAGATAAATCCACAATATCAAGCCCTGAAATGACAGCAGGTTAAAAAGGATTCATTAGCACAATCTTCGGCTTCTTTTTTACACACTTAATGCTCTTGAGAAATTTTTTTCAAATATTTTTAAATGAAAAATGATTTTTTTCCTTCATCAATATACGTCCACATTAAAAGAGCTCAGCTCAAGAAAATCATCGTGGTAGTTGAGGTCAATCCAAAATTTTTTTTAACAAGATTGAAGATGATTTTTTATGCTTTCTGATCATCCACGGATGTTTAAATGTTCTTCGGAAAAAAGAAGAGTTTATGAACAGTTAGATTTGACACCTTTGATCTTTTACAATTGAAAGCATTATGAGATGATATAACTGAGCATCAAATAAGGCCTTGTTGATTGAGTATTAACAAAAAATAATTTTTATGGACAATTATGCGATGAGATTTTTGAGTTTTGATTGTGTAGTGATTTATTGAAAATGCTGTGTGGATGAGCTAAATTGATTTCTTTGAGTTTGAGTACTTAGATGTGTCAAATTGGCTTGAGAAGTTGAATACGTTTGTGCTCACGACTATTGATTAAGTTTTTGCAAAAACTTTTACGAATTAGGGCATTAATTAAGAGTATTTATTGTTTGAAAATGCGATATGGGAAGTTCGTAAGAAAATGAGCTGACTAATTCAACGTCAATTATGTTGGAATTTTATTATGTTGCTCACAATTTTCCTTCAAAACTCATTAACAATTCAATAATCTAAACTCTAAACCAAAGAAATAATCAACCTCAAAAATACGAGATGGTAAATTCACCCAAAAAAGAAGACATAATCCAATATAAATCATGCATATCCACAAAACAAAGCGAAACATAAAAATACTTTTACGGCATTATCTCATATTCATGCCTAATTTCATGTCGTGACGCTCATAAAATGTGACAATTACAATAAATAAAATCCACACAGTTCAATGGTCCAAGCAGTAAATCATTCATATTCATATTCCAAAGAAATACTTTAACGTGTGCGGTTTTCCAAATCTTTTACACAGCGAAATAATAAAAAAAAATAAAACTATATTAAATCTAAGGCAATAGTGCCTTTGTGAAAATTCAAACAATAAAGTCAATCGCCCATCTCGATTCTTTTCACATTTCTACCATTGTAATGAGTTAAAGTTTCTTGTCATTTCTCTATTATCCACCTAATATTAAATGTATGAAGGAGAGAAATACATAGAAATATAAACAGAGATGTAGTCAAGACGCTAAGACCCCCTTAAACTAGGAATCGAGCATTTAAAAGTTGTAATGATTTTTGAAAAGTTTCTGGCTATGCCCCTGAATAGAAGAGGAATGAATGCTGCTTTATAGCTATAGAGCTATTGCGTAGTTTATCTCAAAAAGTGTAAGTAACGGAATTTCGTTTTCTTTTTCTTCCAAAAAAATATCTTTACAGCTCAATTAATGTTTCAAAAAAATGAATTTCTTTAATCTTGTTTTCTCATTTTCGCTCTTCAAAATCACTGGTATTTAAGGTTCAACACACAGAAACACACAATAATAATAATTGAGATTCTTGGCCTTTTTTAGAAACAAATTGTTTGTTTGAAGAGCGGCGAAAAGTCAATATGTGTCATCACAAATCAGAATATTCATAATTTAAAAGATTATACCGAAATCGTGAATATCCTACTGTCATTAATATTTATTCTTTTTTTTTACTCTCGGATATTAAACGGTTCATTCTTCTCATTCTATATCGAATAAGGAATTACAACACAAGTGAGAATATAGCCTTAATTATAGACATTTTAAATTATTAATGAACTGAACACCTTCAAAACTGATCATTAAACAATCAAAACTAATTTCTTATACAATCGATAAGTTCTTTGGAAGAATGGGAATGTGAATTGCAAAAGAATAAGCGAGTTGGATAAACAATTTATAACAATTTTGTTATCTGTGCCTCTTTTTTATGTTCCTTTAGCTTTCTTGCGATAATATTATACAATAATAATTATTAAAACTGCCGCAAAGAGAAGGAATGAAATGCTTATGATGTCGTGGAGTTAGCGGGATTAAACTGGATAATGTGGTTTGGGTATCTGACTGACTGAGTTTGAAAATATGTTGAGTTTTTCAAGAATTTACTAAAATTTGGTTCGTCATTTTATTTTTGGACGATTCTTGCCACTTTTTTGTTCAGGATAAGGTGCTTAACAATTTGCGAATGCAGCTGGATTCACTTTATTAACAAAAATACTTTTTGAGGTGGAGAGAAATTCTGTTATTTTGTTTTCAATTTTTTAAAGGTCGATAAGTCTTTTGGGTCTGATTTTTGTTCATTTTTAATAATAATTTTGATTTCCTTATAATTTTAAGCATTAGAAAAGGCAACATAACGTCAAAAAAAATCAAATCAAATTAATTTCAGTCAAAGCAAATGGAAATTTCATTCAAAAATCGCCACTTACATCATAATTTTTACTCACACTCAAAGAAAGAAAAGCAAAAGTCAATCAGAATATTATTGGCGCTTGGTCGAGCACCACAAATAAATTATATAAATATATCACAAGAAAGATACAAAACTCCTGGCAAACAGCTATGGATGTATGGAAGTGACCAAACATGAAAAATGTTCATTTTCGATACATTATAGCTGACTTCACAAAGCTTGCAGAATAAAAAAAATTAAAAATTGAAGGAATAAAAAGAAAAATTAAAAAGAGTCATAATTCAGTTTATTTTTGCTACTGGCAATATTTGAAACACATTAAACAAAATAAAGAGAACGATAAAGAAGCACAAAAAAATGTGTGTAGTTGCTCAATTTTTTTTTTTTCGGGTACCTCGATCTCAGGGATGGGTTAAAAACACCTCGAATGAATTGCGAATGTTTTTTATCAATGCATCACAATCTCCTTAGCGTACCTTTGCACACAAAAAAATAAAAACGTCTTGCTGCTGTTGCTGCAATGTTTTCAAAATTGTGTATATTTTCATACTTTAAAGGAGAAAGAAAACCTTGAGAGTGGCATTATGATCGTGAAAGAAAAGAGAGTACAAAATATATTTTATGGGAGTTTTCATGACTTTCAAATGAATTCATAAATTAATCAAAAAAATTATTTAAAAGTTTTTGAGATATTTTTGTATAGTTGAATAATTGATCAGATCGGATCGATTGGTTGATGTAATTTATTTGTTTTGGACGGTTTGTAATTTGATTTGTTATTAATGTCAACTTGAGTAACTACTTTAAGTCCTAAAATTTGGTAGAATCTACCTTAACCTCAAATTTGATTCTATCAACCCTAACCTCAAATTTGATTGTATCAACCTTAACCTCAAATTTGATAGTATCAACCCTAACCTCAAATTTGATGGTATCAACCCTAACCTCAAATTTGATGGAATCAACTCTAACCTCAAATTTGATTGTATCAACCTTATCCTCAAATTTGATGGTATCAACCCTAACCTCACATTTGATAGTATCAACCCCAACCTCAAATTTGATGGAATCAACCCTAACCTCAAATTTGATAGTATCAACCTTAACCTCAAATTTAGTAGATGTCCAAAAAATTTATTATGCATCGAAAATCACGCACAACACGAATGTGAAGCTTATAATCCAAAGAATTCTCTTACAAATATCAATATAATTTACAAATTATCTTTCATTCTTATCATTCCAGGTTAAAGTAACAGTCTTAGACAAGAATGACGAACGTCCAGTATTCCGTGACTTACCACCCAGCTACATGGTGTCAGAAGATCTCGGAAATGGTCAAACAATTGCAACAATCAAAGCAATTGACCCAGATACAATTGGAAAACTCGAATACTCATTAATATCAGGTGATGATGGAAAATTTACACTGGACAAGAGTCAAGGAACACTCAAACTACGCGATACATTAGATCGCGAAACAAAAGACTTGTATAAACTTCTTATTCGTGTAACGGATGGTGTGCAATATACAGAAACCACAATTTCTATACAGGTAAGATACTTGACTTTACAATAGCTAAAAAAGAGTGAAGAAGAATGAAAAGAACTCTGGCAACAATTGAACCCGAGAAATTGTTGAAAGCAATGCAAAAAAAAATATTAGAAATGATAAATTATTAAAAATTACTTCAAGAGTTGTTTTGTGTTCACATTTTTATACATTTCACGATTATACAAAAAAAAAGTATGAAACGTGAAATCTGATAAAGAGATGAACTCGACTACAAACTGTAGAATGTTGGAAATTTGATATTTTTTGCTTCTTCTTGATGCTGTTGCTGCTTTTTTTTTGAAAAAAAAAAACTTTACAGTGATGAATTTGAACATATTTATCTGTGCTACTACAAAATTATATTTTTTTGTTGTTGTTGTTGCTGTTGTTAGCTGTGTTGTTACTGATGCAACTGAGAGGAATTTTAATGCGGTGTTTGACAGCAGCAGTGAATTTTCTTTTTACATGCATAAAAATAAGTTCTTGTGATGATCGTTTTTGTTAAGAAACGTTTTTTTTTGTTGTTCTTTTTTTTGTGGCACTTGCTGATGGTTTAAAAGCTGTGGTAATGTTGGGGTCATTAGGTGTCCTTGAAGATATTTTTGGAATAATTATGTGAACTTTTTTAATGTTGCAAATTCAAATTCAACAAGGCAATGAACCTTCTAAATACATGGGTTCTCGATTTCCATAAGATTTTTGCAGTCCTTGACAATTACGCAAATCAAGGACCAACTGCATGTTGACTTTTTCCATCATTTATTCAAAGTTGTTGCAAAATAACATTATTGCACCTTTTGCTACCAATCAATCATCTACAATCATGTCTGGAAGGGTTGAGGATCACCTGCAATATTTATAGAAAATTAGTAACGCTTCTCAGAATGTTATGAATCACTGGATTATGAAACATAGTTAGTAGAGGTGTCCATATCCTATAATCACGTTGAGGTAGCATTCAACATACATGAATCATGTATTTTTATACCTAAAACACCTTAAACCATACTTCTGATGTCCAGTAGTTCACCATCATACTTATGACTCCAATTATAGAGAAAGAGCACAGCTATAGAATGCTTATATAATCTACTAATAGGTTATAAATACCATCCACCTCAATCACATCCTCAAAATTACCCCTGAGCTGCAATAGTCAGTAAAATATCAATTTTCAGTTCAATCAAGAACTCCATCCACATCTCAAAACATTTCCCACCAGAACCTCACTCATTCATTCCATTAATCCTCTTCAAAAAAGTATTCTTATTGACTCTTCCCATCCACAATTACACCAATTTGCACAAACCATCAGATAACGTCAACATTTATTGACAGCACTTTCTTCTTCACTCCAAACCATCTTCACCTTTTAAAGCCACAACAGACTCTGTTTGCATAAAAAGTTTCCCATGACCAGCAGAAGAAAAATATATAAAAAATTCACATTTGCCAATCTTTCAAAACTATGTCATTGATGCTTCAAAGCACAATAAAGAAGAGGAAAAGAAAATCAATTGAAAATCCATACTTGCAACATTTCACATTCTATAGTCATCCAGCATAACAAATAACAGTCTTAGAACAAACGAGCAAAAAAAAAGTATATTTCATGCTCACCATTCAAGACGAATAATAATAAGCAACATGAAAGTGCCCAAATGGAATGAAATGATTAGAAGACATTTGTTTGCGTTTGCTATATTGATCGCCCTATATAAGTAACTGTAACGAGAGAGAGAGAGAGATTGACTTTCTATAAGGTAATGATTTTTCACAAAAAAAACAGCAAAACATCCAAAAGCAGAGCGAGCACTTATAGGTGAATGAAGGGAATGGGAGAGTTTGAGAAAGGTCAATTTAGAGTTTGTTGGATAGAAGCGCATTCATTTTGATTTGTTGAAGTTTATTTTGAACTTATGTCTTAATATTAACTCCAATCTGGAGCTGAACCTCCAAGGAATTGAACCATCGATCAAACAAACTTTCAATTCATTTGATCTAGAACCTCCCAAAGTGTCACAATTGTCAACATCCAATCAGACAAAACCTGCACGTCAGCAGAAAGAAATTGAAGTCAATCTATTTCCCCTTCTTATTATTTTTAATGGAATAATAACAACAAAAACAACATCATCATCATCAATAGCAATATTAGATTTTATTCATTAGATTCGTAATGATGGGAAATCCAATAATATTTGGTCAAGCAAGACAAAAAGGCTAAGCTTGTATGAAAAATGAAGTTTACCAATTTTGGCACAAGACTTTGGTGATCATTTAGAAATGATTATTATGGTATGAACTCTCATTATTCAATTTTGACTTTGATGGAATCAAAAATTAAAGTAAACTAACATGGATATGGAGAAATCATAGCTGAATTGATTTTTGTCATGGAATTGGATGTGATTTGAGTGATTTATGGAGTGGATTGGATTATTTGATGAAAGTGTAGAATCATATTGATTTAGAAGTATAAGTGGCTTGGAACTGCATTGGATTAATGTTTTGGCATCTTAATAGCTTGATGTCATGGCTAAGATCTTTGGATGGAGACTTTGCAGCGCAACTAACCTTCATTTATCATCAGATATGAGTATCAACTCTTTGAGACACTTCCTATGTGAGTAACTCCTAAGTGCACCTACACATTCCATCAATAATCATAAATCCGACAAAAAATACCCTTTCATTAATCCAAAACGCGTTTAACATCAACAAAAGTTATTTTTCGTGCTCAAAATCTGCAAATTACCTCATTACTTCCTCACTTCCTTCTTATTCCCCGGTAATATTCATCCAGCTTAATTTTATTTGCACGTTTAATGTAGTTTTAACCGTAATATGCATCAGCACACAACACCCATCACATAAGATATTCACTGATAATTTCCGAAAATTTGGCAGCATTAATGAAATTATCATTTAATGCTAATCGCTGAGGACGAACTATAAACACAATTATATAGATTCACGATGGAAATATTCTTAAGAGCAACGTATATAATTGAATTAAATTGATTCCTCATTCAACTTCTAGTGTTTAGTTTTTTATACTTTATTATTTGTCGGCAAAATACCGTCCATTAAATTCGATCGAAACCACCTCTTTGTTTTTCTTTCTCTCGTGTGTATCTTAAAACTGTTTGCTGCTCAAAGTTAAGCCAAGGAAGAAAATAAAACAAAAAACATGTAAAAAGAATTTTCAACATGCTGTGCACCTGTTATACACTAAATAAACTGTATGTATGAAAAAAGAACTTAATGTTGGCTGCTACTGATCAATTTCTTTCTAAAATAAACGCATAAGCGTTCTACAATGTGCTAAACTGTAAACACTGAATTAGTTTGGTTGATTTTTTATTTTGTATCAAATGTGAGATGGGAATTTAGACACGAGATGGGCTAATTTGGTGAATGTGATGAATTTTCTGTGCATTTTTGGTTGGCTGGATGAAAATATGAGAATATGAAAGCTTTAACGTTAGGTTCTCTTAGGTATTCTCTCGATTCTCCCAGTTTGGATATTAATTCTCTCAATCCTCTCAAGACTCTCAGTTCTCAAAATTATGCTCTCAAGTTTTCTCTCAAATTTTCTCTTATTTCTCTCAAATTCACTCCCGATTCTCTCAAATTTACTCTCAGTTCTCTCAAATTTACTCTCAGTTCTCTCAAATTTACTCTCATTTCTCTCAATATTCTCTCTAATTTCAAACACTTCATAAAGTGGCTTCCTAACTTGCTCTAATCTGATTTCTCGACAATTTATTTCTCTTAATCTTATTTCTCCCAAAATAAAAAAAAATAAATATATTTAATGTTAAGAAGATCCATCAGTAACAAGAGCAACAAAATAATAATAAAGAAGAAATTAAGAATGAGAAAATACAAGAAAAAAAAATGTTGCACGTTGCCAAATGAGTTGAGTATTTTTAAGCATAGCATTTAATTGAATAACAAAGTGCTATGGCTTTTGTTAAGATGATGAGCTAAGAGAGAGTAAGAGAGGAAGAAAGAAGGAAGAGAAAGAAATTGAAAAGTGCCAGTAATAAACCTAATTATCAGGTTGAAAGGTGTAGCTTTTAAAAAGCCATAAAAATTTAATTGCTAAAACGAATTTCTCGTATTTCTTTGTGCATTTAATTCAGTTTAAATTGAGAATATTTTCGGGAATAAATTAAGGAGCAGTTGTTAGATTCAAATAGCTTAAATTGAATGGTATTGTTTCTATTGGATTGGAACTACTCATCTGATGTCAATTAGTTCCGGGATGTAAAATTATGTAATCGAAGTTTTGAAATAGTTGAGGTTTTATTGAGTTTCAAATATTAACGGTTTTTTAAAATTCAAATTTAACAAGTTTCTAAAATTCAAATTTTAACGATTTATATAAACTGCTCAATACATGCTTTAATAGCTTAAAACCTCATTTTATCAAAACCCGACCATAAAAAAATCCCATCTATAGCACCATCACTTTATTATGTAAATTTAACAGCCATCAATCCATATCATCTTAACCTTGAAATGATTTGCAATTCAATTAAAGCTACAAACCATTATGATGCACACATTAAATTTCACAGAATGTAAAATAACTGATTATTGTCAAATCAAATTGATGTCACACAATCGCTCGATCTTGATTTGTGTGAACAGATTCCTTCTTTTATTTTTATATATCATTCTTTCTTCGTCACACAAGAATACATCTCTCGCGCCATGAATTGCGGATTAAACAATCAATTTACATGTGTTTTCGTTTGTCATATTCCTCTCGTTTTTTTTCTTTCTTTCTTTGAACTGTGCTTGTGTACACAAGCCACAAAATAACATTCATTTGATGTCATTTATTTTCAATCGTACATTTTACATTCTTTTCTTCATTTTTATTTTCTTTCTTTCATACTTTCTCTCTTACTGTTCTGTTCTCAGTCATTTCTCTCACTCTTCACTCGCTCGTTCGCTCACTTAAAAGATTGACTTGAAATGCTAAAGAGGGGTGCTAGGGGTGGACATCTTTTGGGATTTTTATGTTTGTGGGAACTTTTTTGAGATATTTTAAAATCTTTCAAGTTGAAACTTTTAATTTTGTGCAAGTTGAGAGAAAATTGGGAAAATCGAGAGAGTTTTGAGCAAGTTGAGAGAATTTAAAGAAAGATAAGAGAGTTAAAAGCAAGTTTAGAGAGCCAACAGCAAGTTGAGAAAGTTTAAAGCAAGTCGAGAGAGTTTAAGAAAAGTTGAGAGGGTTTAAAGCAAGTTGAGAGAGTTTGAGAAAAGTTGAAAAAGTTTAAAGCAAGTTGAGCGGGTGTAAAGCAAGTTGAGAGAGTTTAAGAAAAGTTGAGAAAGTTTAAAGCAAGTTGAGAGAGTTTAAAGCAAGTTAAGAGAGTTTCAAGCAAGTTGAGAGAGTTTAGATCAAGTTGAGAGAGTTTAGATCAAGTTGAGAGAGTGCTCAGATTTTACAGTAATTCCCTCCAAGTTCCCCCCTTAAAAAACCAAAATCTGATCAAAGTCAAATGACTAAAGGTGAAAAAAGAAATAATAAAAAAAAATTATACAAATAATATAAACAGCATTCAAAGTCAAAGTGAAAAAGTAGAAGGAGCAAGAAGAAGAAGAACTGAAAAAGATATATAGATATAGAAGTAAAGTCATAAAAAATGATGGAGTGGATTTAGTTTTTAGAGTGGCATATAAAATGAGATTTAATTTAAAGATAAGAGGTTCTACGAATTAAATGGGTGGACAAGCCACTGTAAGAAACTACTATGAACGAGTAATGAATCCATGACCCGAAGAAACGGAATTAGAATTTGTACTATTGATACTAATTTTGATATATTCATGAAAAAAAAAACAAGTAAGAAGAAACAAAAAAAAATCACTAATACCTTGCCATTTTTCTTTATTAAATTATCAGACTTTCTTCATCCTACGAAAGAGTTTCTTTGTTATTTCGTAAATTGAAAAGAAACTTCAAGCTGTGCTGATGAATGATCATTCTGACAAACTAGATTAATATTCTAGGATGATGAATTTGTTGCATGTATAAACATATTTGCTTATTCTTACTGTAAGATTTCTTATAATTCTTCGGTATATGTATAGTGGTACGGATTTAATAATGATATATACAAATCTCCCAGGATAGAGGTTTTGAACTATTTTTAGAATTAATGTTTGAATGTTTATGCTCACTACTGTGGATTATTTTGCAGTATCTTCTCAATATTGTTGAATTTTTGAACTTGTTTTAAGAAGATTGGGCTCCTCTAAGAGCCATAATGATGGTTTAAAGGTAGCAGTTTGTATAAGATTAAGTCAACAAAGCTAAAATGTAGTAAGAATCAGTTATATAATAATGAAAATGGTTCAAATGAGACTCGAACCTTTACTGTAGATGATCAGGCAATGATCTGAACCAATCTTGAAGCAATAATGTGAATTACCGCACAACTTATTTAAGAAAGTTAACAATCTTAACAGAATTCAATCCAAAACAACATTTTTTCTATAACACTACCGAGTCTCATCATTTCAAACGCATCAATACATCCAAAAAATAAAAACTTCCATTCCTTGAACATTAGTATTTCAGGAACTCAACAAAACTCATCGTTTTTGTTCCACCCTTTCAATCACTTTAATACTTATTTCCGAAAGATCGTCTTCATGCACCAAAAAAAATGCACATACAATGTATCATAATTACATATAAATTGTACTTCGATTATACCTTTTTTTCGTCTCGGAAAATTCTTTGATTCTCAAAAATAACAAAAAGCTGTTTAAATTTTGTTCAAACGCACATTGCAGGCTTCATCTTATGTAGCTTGAATTTGTAAACTCATGAATTTATTCTAATCCATTTTGAGATTTTCACAAATCATGGCTCAATATCATTATCATAATCCATCGATTAGAGGGGAAAAAAATTAATTGCTTTAACAGAGTGGAGCTCAATTTTGGATACAATTATGCTCCATGTATTGTGGAAGTGATAGGAATTTAATTATGTTGGATAAGATTTGATGAGGATCTTTACAATGGGTCGCAGGATGCATTTGTTGATGAATTTGATTTGACCTAAAGTTTAGGTTTGCTTATAGAAGGCTTTTTGATTAAAAGTTGTTTGAAATTATCACTTTTTCAAACTGAATCGATCAGATTTTAGTCAATTTAATGACAAACATTTAAATAGTTGACTGTCAACTATTAGGACACAAATTTTCATCATTTAAGTATCATCCTAACTTGTTATTATATTCACACCGTATTCACGTGTGAATCTATTGGTTTTGTTCAGATTGAAAAATCAGTTTTTCGAATTTTGCGAGAAAATGGAGCAAGATAGCTTAACATGTCGACAGATGAAAAGTTTGTGCCTGAAATTTTACATCTTCTGCAAAAAACAAATTTTCAAATTGATTGAGGCATTGCTGAGAAAATCGCAAAATACGCTTTCTGTAAGCAAACAAGCAAGCAAGTTAATCAGCAAGAAATCTTAATAACGAGACATCGTAGAGACTTCTAGTTTTTTACATTTGATCCGTGCTGCTCTAAAGAAGAGCTGTATTGTTTTTGGGCAAGGTAAGAACAGCCGTTGCTTCAGAAAAAGCAAAAAACTTTCCTTTCTTACGAATTTTTCAAAAAAAAGTTTACTGTGATTTTTATAAATAGCTTTATACCTTCAAACTTATGCTGAGCAAAGCTCAGCTGACTCGCTAGCTTTATACCTTCATACTTATGCTGAGCAAATCTTGGTTTATCCATTATACTTTTGGCGGTACGGTGTGAATATAATCCGCATTGGGTTTCTACCCGATACACTAGTTTTCACCAGATTTTGTAAATCATTAAATCAACCTCAAATTAAGCATTGCAGCATCAACAATTTCTTCAATTCATTCACAAAATTCCAAAAATATTAAAATAACACTAATTTAATTCCAATTCTCATTTGCAGGTCTCCGACAGCAACGACAATCCACCAGTGTTCTCCGAACAAGCCTATTCCTTCGACATTCCAGAAAATGCACCACGAGGCTACCAAGTTGGACTCATTACAGCAACAGACGCAGATTTGGGTGCCAATTCAATGCTCACATATACTGTCATTTCTGATTGGGCGAATGATGTTTTCACATTAAATCCACAAACTGGCGTATTTACACTGACAGCACGTTTAGATTATGAAGAGGTATGTATATGGAAATAAACTTTTTTTTGAAGCGTAAATCATGTCTCCTTTTGTTCGAAATCAGAGAGAGAAAAATCGAGGAAAGGAAACAAGAAGAAATAAGAATTTAAATGCCGACAATCATGCTTCAATCAAAGATTTTTTTTCTTATTCAGTGTTAGACAGAAGCAGCCTTAGTTCTAATAATAATTCCTTTAAAATTTTGTTTTTCTCTTATTTCATTTAACTTTTGGATTATGTTTCGATGTGAAACTTGTAGTTCTGATTTTTTTTTATTATTATTTATTTCCATTTCTAAAAAGAGATTAATCAAAGATTAGTAAACGATTGAGGAGATTTTTAATTTTTTTAGCGTAGTTGTATGGAGTATTGGGAGGTACTGAGTGTTGTTTTGACTTTGTGTCTTTGGAGATAGTTTTCGAATGTAAAGTCTTTCAATTTTTGCTAATTTTATTATTAAGATGGAGTTGGATCAGTGGTTTGGAATGTAAGTTGCCTTGTTGACCAAAGTTCGAACCCCTGCAAGTTCGGATCTAGGTAATTTCAATGTTACAGCTTCAATATAGCTATGCAAATACTATGATGAACTTTTGGTACCTAAACATGATTGATTTTCGTGCTTTAAACATGATTTGAACCGATATCCAAATTATTTGATCTAGCTTGAACTTAGTGCATTTTTCGAACCCAAGTCATAGATTTTCGATATTTAAAATTCAATAAACTCTTAAACTCCTTTAAACAAGAGCGAATAAGCTGTGAACCACTTAAATCAGTGACATTTCAGATCATTTCATTTATACCTGACCAACATATCAATCAAAGCAATTCCCAAATGCGTCCCAAAGATAACCTATTCCTCTTCACTTCCAAACCACTTTTTTTGTTCATTCCATTCTTACAAAAAAGGCAACGAGCAACTCACAGAGGGCAAGAAAGAGAGATGAAAACGTAACAAAACAAAACTAGAAACAGACAAAAATAAGAGAGATGAAAAAGAATGTTTATTTGATAGACAGTTTAATAATTTTTCACGAATAATTTTTTTTGATATGCTTGAAGAGATGTAAAAAAAAAGGTTCTCTTGCCTTTTTCTGCTTGTCTTTAAAAAATTTCAATTTCGATAAAAATCTATTTTCAATATACATTTCTATGATTTCTGTCTCTTTTTTACTGTTGTATATAAATGTTCTGATTAATTGCGTGGATCACATCAAAACGTAAATATCACATTACAACTTCATCCAAAATATTTTTTATTTATTTTTCTTGAGAAATGAAAATTTTTATTAATATTTTTATGACCAGAAATGAGATGGGTAATGGATTATACCTGAGTGGGTGGCTAAGGCGTCTTTTGATTGTTAAGAATTGATTGAATTTTTATAGCATGAAATTTTAACGACTTTTAGAATTCAAAAAAATGTCAAAACACGTGGTCTCACTTCGAAAAGTAAAATTGACTTAATATTGTTATCAAAACTAGTTTCTACTCAATTACTGCCATAACTTACCCAAAAAGATGGCAAAAATCGAGCACAATTTTCACAATGAAGCAATTCTTGTACTATAAAAGCTAAAACCAGTCAAAATGAGCTCATAATGATGCACTCAAAAGTAAATCCTTAAGAAAACAATATAATAAAGAAGAAGTACCTTAAAAAGAGACTTTAAACTGTTAACGACTCTCCAGATTTAATATTATTACTGCTTCTTATAAAATGATATTAAAAAAAATACAACAAGAAAATTCATATCTTCAGGGTTATAATAATTAAATATTAATGAATTGAAAGAGAAACACATTCAGTTTATTTTAATGCAGTATGTATAATTGGGTAGAATATTTGGCGATGATAATCTGTCAATTAATTCAATGCGATTTAATAACTATATTAACTTATTCACATTAACAAACTTCTTTACTTAAAAATATCTTTTTTTCTCATTTAATTAAATTACAGGTGCAGCATTATATTTTAGTGGTACAGGCACAAGATAACGGACATCCAAGTCTATCAAGTACATTGACAGTGTACTGCAATGTGATCGATTTGAATGATAATGCGCCCGTCTTTGATCCGATGAGTTATTCAAATGAAATTTATGAGAATGTTCCAGTCGGTACGGAAGTTATCACGGTTAGCGCTACTGATATTGACTCAGGTATGTTTGCATTCTTTTCATATATTCTTATTCTTCAATTATTGAGTTTGGTTTTATGGATTCAGGGTAAGGACATGTTGAGAGCTGCAATTGAATCTTTGTTATTCAGTTCCCTGTGAAGTGGATTCAGTTCTCTGTAAATTGGTTTTAGTTCTCTACAAATCAGGTTGAGTTCTCTGTGAATTGGGTTTGATTCTCTGAAAACTCAGGTTTAGTTCTTTGTAAACTAAGGTTTGTTTCACTGTAAAAGCAGGTTGAGCTCCTTACAAAGCATATTGAGTTCACTGCAAAGCAAATTGTGTTCTCTGTAAAGCAGGTTGAGTTCTCTACAAAGCAGGTTGAATTCTCTGTAAAGCAGGTTGAGTTCGTTACAAAGCATGTTGAGTTCTCTGCAAAGCATGTTGAGTTCTCTGCAAAGCAGGTTGAGTTCTCTGTAACAAGGTTGATGAAGAGTTCACAAATTCATGTTTCCACATCCTGATATGATCACTTAATTTTCACATTTCGAAATAAAAGAAAAACGCAAATTAATGATAGTAGATATATCAATGTCGATTTAAAGCGCGAGTTTATCGCTATAATGACCGCTGCTTTTTAAGTCCACCATCCAATGTAAATGTAAAAATACAAACTTGTTGATTTCTCTCTTTTCATTTTTTTTTATCTCAGTTTTTTTTGCATTCCACAACACTACAATTCATTTATTAAATATCCATTTGGCATCATATTATTATTTTAACGTCTATTGTCTCGTCATCATCATCTTCTTCTTTTTGTTTTTTATTCCTTCTTCATCATCTCAATGTACATGAATTTTATGAGTACAACAATTACAATAATAATCAATTTATGAATAATATAAAAAATATACGTGGATATGCGCGAAGAAATGAATGATGATTGTGTGATGCAAGATGATATTGTAGGAATAAGAATGTCGAAGATTGTGGTAGTGCATCAATCAAGTCTGGTTTGGATGAAGGGAAATTAATTTTTTTATTTTCAATTTATTAAAATGAGCAGAATTCTTATCAGAATATTTAGATGACTGAATCTATTGATCTTTTGACCGCGAATTCTTATAGCTAGGTATGAACTTAATTTGCGAACCATACGATCTGTTTTTATATCATTTTTGTTCCCATGAATTAAACACATTACCATCATCAATTGATCCCAATCCACAATAATAGACCGAAAAGCCTACCATCTGACTAGACATCCACATCTTGGGGTTAAAAAGTTCTTAAAAAAAATTAAAATTCAACGTAGTACATTTGACTCCATTTCCCACAAGAGCACGTCAAAAAAATCTTTATTCGCTACTTATCTGACACATCTAATATGTTTGAAACATTTAAATAGTTACAAGTCGAGTGTATATAAAGGTTAATAATTTGCTTTTTTCCTTAGTGAATAGAACAAAACTTAGTTCTTTTTTTTTGCTGATTTTTGCTGCAGTCATATAATATCTCATCTGATATTCTTCCATTCTATCGCCTCATGACTTTTCTCTCAGCTTCAATAAATTGTTGTTTTTTGAAATATTGACTCTAATTACTTGAAATTATTCCTCACCATTTATTCCTATCATATGGGACGTGATAGATTCTCTAAACTGTCTTCCACATGCTCTCGCATATTATATCTAAAGTGAGAAAATTTCTATGAAGTTGACTATTGTGTGTATTAATGTATATGAGATATAGTCACATATATATGAAAAAAAGAAGCAAAGTGTCCGAGACGTTTCTATATTTATTTTTATTCTCTTATTATATTTTCTGTGCAATTTTGTTGCAAAATTGGCTTGATAGACTCATGGCATTGGTTTGACTATATGAACTGATTAGCGGTTAAGTCTTTTATGGAGTTTGTTGGATGTTGAGTGAGTTTATCTATTAATACGTTTATAAAATAGTAGATCATGAGTTATTTAAGGTCACATTTTCATAATTTAGTATTATTATTATTATTATTATTATTATTATTATTATTATTATTATTATTATTATTATTATTATTATTATTATTATTATTATTATTATTATTATTATTATTATTATTTTATTTTAAGCTTTTAAGAGCCAGACCGTGTCATGGCATTATTACATTTTAATTATATATAATTAATAAGTTTCAATGATTTAGTAAAAAATCTTTGAAGAAACTTATGAAAATTTAACAGTAATTTGAGATTCAAAGGCAAAAAAATTGTTAACTGATATTCAAGATTCAAAAAAAAAATAAAGTTCAAAAATTGATCATGTGTTTGTAAACAGAAAAAAGTTTGTCAACATAAAATTTAAATAATAATTTAAAGACATTAAAATTGGACTAGTAGATTCTACCTTTGATATTCAAACCTGATCCTACTCCTTGACACTAGCAACTCTAGTGACCTTACCTGCTCCCAATCAAATGCGCCTCCATTTACTGCCTCAATGATTCACTATTTTTAGCTGCCTGAAGTGTCAGTAAATGGCATTATTTACCACAACAAATTCCTATCGCTATGATGGCAAATATTGCTGCAATCTATCTCTTTAAAATAAAAAAAAGTTGTGAGTTCTTTTCATTTTCACCTCTTCCTTTTGTGATATCCACAATTGCTGATGAGACGATATATGTAGGAATGAAATGATGATGATGATGACGATGGTGTGAATTGAAAAAGTCCATTAGGAGTTGATTGAGTAAATAATTGTTGGACATTAAAGGGATATTTGACTTGTCTATTTCTTTTGAGTTTGTAATATATATATTTTTTTTGTCTCTAGTTGTCGTCGTCGCTGTTTGTTGAGTAATTCTTTGTAATCAGATTCTTTCTGTGAATGAAAGAGAATCGTGTGACATGAAGATGTGGATGTGATCAACAGGTGATCGATGGAAATAGTTTAAAGTGTTGTTACTAGGAAATTACTGTTAAGTAGGAGTTTAGTGATATATGGGAGGTGTTTGATTGGTTATTTATGGATTGAGGAATTGGACATTTTTTTAAGTCAAGTTTAAAAGAGTTTGTAGGTGAGTGGTGTAGGAGATTTGATGCCTTTTTGATTGGTTTAAAGCAGTTTGAGGCTATAATCTTAAAAAAATATTGAATTGTATTAGATTCTTCATTAGAATGAAGAAAAGTTGCGAACATACTTCAAAAGCATATCTTTGATAAACTTTTTAAAATAAGGATATATTATATTCTAGGCTGAAGATAGGTATATTAAATAACTGATCTGAAAACTAGCCTAATAATGTCTCCCTAGTTTAATAGCCACTAAACTCATCTACATCGCTTACTTTTATATTCAATCATCTTAATCATCCATAAAGTTCTCATAAATAAATAATCCAATATCAAAAAAAAATTCCAAACCTCCAAAAATCACTCACCTCAACAACAGCTGTTCAACACAACGATTTTATTCCTTTAAAAAAAATAACTTTACATTCCATCGCATATCACAATAATTTGATCATATTGAATAATTTTTGTTTTATTCTCTCTTCCTTTTTGATGAATTTGAATACAATTGACATTATACAACAAATTTTGTTAAGAATATTGGTTGTAGTCAAGGTGCCTTCCAATAATAATGTACTTCTTATTTGTTATGCAAATCATGGTCCCATATAAACAGTGCTCTAGGAAATTCTTACCATGTGAATGTTTAGAGAAGTTTGTGAGGCGAGGAAATGAAGATGTTGACTATGGCGCATAAATATATAAAAAAAAAATATTAAAGCATCCCGAAACACCTCAATCTGAACTCAATAGACACTTCATAAATTTCCAATACCCTCATTTTTATCCGCGCGAGTTCCAAACAAAAAAAAAGAAGCTGCTTTGTGAAATAATAAATAATAAAAAATAAAGTCCGAAAGAACTTCTCATTTGCCTATAAATATATGTGTTAGTTCTTCCATTCATTCAAACACTTGAGATAGGCTCATGCAGATATTTTGTAGCTACGGAATAATTTTAGCATGAAAAAAAAAATTTTTCTTTAGAATCCCATTAACCTCATTCAGTCTGTCTATTTGATTTCCTTTTTATTATTCACAATAAAAAAAAAAATCTCATTTTTTATCTCAGCAGAAAGCTGCGCTATTCTTATTTATTTTGCAATAGCTTCTTACTTTGTTTTTATTATTATTTTTTTTTGTCCGTCTTTTCGCAGCTTGTTCTCTCATGTCTTTTGATTTTGCATTCCACTTCTTTTTATTTCTCTTACTTTCATGGCTATGCTGTAGTTGTGTATATCATGCATATAAAAAAGAGGTGATAAAAAGAAATGAAACGAAGGAACAAAAAAAAAATGCGAAAATGATGGCAAGCACATACAGGAAAGTAAGAAGAAGACATTACGAATGCGAAAATAGAAAAATGAGTAGGGAAATTGCGTAATAAGGGTTAAAGGCGCATGGGTTTTTAAAATTGAACGGATGCTTTTGTTTGATTTTATGAGATTGTTGTGAATTATGCGAATCGATCGAGCAGTTGATTTAAAGCAAGTGGCATTGTTGAGAACATAGTAACGATTATTCAATATTCAAATTATGTATGCAACTATAATTAGTTTGTTTCCCCATGTATAGTTTCCCTTCATATGAATACTTAGTCTCTTTCTGCTCAGGAACAATAAAGATCATTGTGCATATATATAGAGGCCGTAAGGTCTCTTCGATTAAGTTCATTAATAAATAAATAAACATTGTGTTCATTATATCCAACAGTCATTCAGGTTTGAAACCTTTAATAGTAGACTTTGAGGCTTATTTCTAGTTAAATCTTAACCCAATTAACAGCACAGCTCTACCTAAAACTTTTCAGACTAAACTGTGCTTTACTATCTGTAAACCTTTCAAATGAAAATTCTTACTAAACTCACCAAAAGCTCACAAAATCTCCGACAATCTGCTCCAAATTTTCCCTCTTATCCACTCAAATCATCGCTAAAAATATTAATATCATTACAGCATTCATACCACACTTTATTATGTCTTTCTCATCTTTTTATTCCTATATTTTTTTCGTGGAGTCTTTATAATAAGGTACACATACATCCAAACATAGAATCTGACCCGAAAAGCGACCTAAAATTGCTATTTATGGAAGAACTTTTTTTTTGTTATGGTTTTGATGATTCTCTTGATGTATTGTATTTATGTATGCATGTATATACATGCGGGTATTCACAAAAAAAAATTATGAATAATTGTGCTTTATAGAAATCTCATATTCACAATAAATTTTCACTTTATAGAATCGCTCTTTTTAGTTGTTGATGATTAATCGCTAGAAACATTTCACACTAAATTTCAGACGCTCATGCTTCATGAAGGGCTTAATGATTGAATAATGAGATTCATTGTTATTATTTCATTTAGAATATAATTTTTTTTATGTTGTGAAATTCTTAACGAATTTTTTGCTCAATTTAATTTTGCTTTTGTGTAATGAAAAATCAGCGTTGAATTGTTTTAATGGAACTGCTTACACGAGCGGTTAGATGCTTGATGTTTTTAATGCACTGAGAATGGCGTTTTATGTTTTGATCTGGTAAATTAGAGTGAAAATGTGTGTCAGTCGTGGTTGAAATTGGAATTGTTTGGAATTTTGATGGGATTTTTTCGCAATTTTTTGAGGCTTTAAATTGTGATTTGTTATATAAATCATGTAGAATCATGTGAAATTGATTGTATATTATAAGATCCTAAGATAATTTGGAATCTAGGGTTGGAATTTTGTTACTAAGAACAATTTTGAATTTTTCTGCTAGCTTCGCACCCTTCAGCATAGTTGCAAACCCCTTCGACTAGTCACAGACTTCTTATAGTAGTCACTGAACCCTTGAATTGTCTACAATCTATAATATTTCCCTTACTCAACTATAAACAGCAGTTCTTACGTCATCCATCCACCAATACCACTCAAAACAACATTTTACCTAATTTGTCATGCAAAAAAAATTATTAATTTGCGGTATATCTTATGTTAATAAATATTTCATTCATTCTTTAACATTTTTTTTTTCTCTCTCTTTCTCTTTTCATTGCTTTGCAGGCGACAACGGTCGAATTGAATACAGCATAACCTCAGGCGATGATGATGATTTTGAAATCGTTTCAAATGGAACCATTTATACTAAACGGCTGTTGGATCGTGAGACAAAAAGTACATATAACTTGATTGTTACAGCACGAGATTGTGCTAAGGATGTTGACAAACGACTTTCATCGACTGTACAGGTAAGAATCGAGTGGATAGAATTTTATAAACGAAAACAATAGAAAGTCTTTAGAATATACAATGTTCAAGCATTCAATTCTCATTTCATAGCGTCATCGTTCGTTCAATATTATAATTTTGTTTTTTTGTTAAAGCAATTAGAACTTGTGATGAAGAACTTCGAGAGTCTTTCAAATTTAACACTTCTTCTCGTCTCCTTTTTTGGCTATGAAGTATTTCATGGAATAATTCAAATTGTGCTTTAAAATAGAGATGAGAAATATGAAGAAGAACATGAAAAGAATCATAAACAAATATTTGTTCAATAAACACTAACGAACGTGGATTCCATGATTGCTGTTAAATATTTTGTTTTGGATTCTTTTTCCAATGTGGATTTTTGAAGATTGTTTATTGTGAATTGTTCTTAGATTTTGGATTTTTTCGGGTGTTGATGGTTGTTTTGTTAGAGTAAGGTGTCATTTTGGGGTACGTAGTCTATCTTGTATAATAATAATATTCTATTTAATCAATGCCAAACCATAGCTCAACCATAGCTCAACTCTAGTGGAACCCATAGCCTAGCCCTATTCCTAGTCTAGCTTAAGCTTTAAGCCAAGCATAAACCAGGACTTCAAGAATATAGTAATTTTTACTCATCTCCAAACAATTCTAAACTTGCTTCACTTCTTCACATCCACAAATTAGTTTATGATTCTTCTCATACACAATATCACTTAACTCATCTTACATGTACGTGCGAATAAATATGTAAGAAGAAACAACATCACTTGATTGTTATGAATAAATTAGAAAAAAGAACATAGTTCAGTAATTCAAAAAAGGAACTAGTTGGTTCTTATTCGTACATGTCAAAATGAACAAAAATCCCGACACTTTCAGACTGAAATGAACATTGAATTGAAGTAAAACAGCAAAGGGGTTGTGCATTAATATTTCAATTTGCCATAATGTCGGTAACTGGATTGACATAGACTTGGCTCATTTCGCTGTTTTGTTTTCATGTCTGCATTACCCTTACGGTTGTTATTTAGATTTTGAAATATTTCAACAGCATATAAATTATAAAAGACAATCAATGCAAAAGCTGATTTTTCTATTTATTGTCAATTCTTCTCCACCTTATTCTCATTCAATTTTTATCAAGATAATTTTTTTTTGCGGTTGCAATGAATTTTTTCTTTATTATTTATTTTAAACCAAACATTTGTTCAAATTAGCAGCTTTCAAATGTCGTTTATGAGTGCTGTTACATGAGAATGAACTAAAGTTGTGTATTTAATTGAGGAATAAAGTGATTGTTGTGTAGTTTAGTAAAATATCATGTAAACTAGCTAAGCTATGAAGAACCCCAGCAGCAAGATTCATTTAATGCCGTCAGACAACCGTCAAGGTACACTCACTTCTCTGTGACGTTAACATAGTGACATGGATGACCCCTAGCTTCTGTTGCTTCGGAATATCCTAGTCGTATATCCGAGTTTGGGAGCTTTTGTGCTCCTCGGGATAATGAAATGAATTTTGAGTTTAGAACAATTATTAAAAAATTAATTTTGAACATATACTTATACTTGCCTTACTAATTGAAAAACTTAATCAATTTTCCAGGTCACAATAATATTAAAAGATGTAAACGACGTAAAGCCAATTTTTATAACACCAAACGAGACAAGTGTTAGCGAAAATATACCAATTAATACTGTCATGATGGCAATCAAAGCAATTGATCGAGATGAAGGCCGTAATGGTTATGTCGAGTACATGCTCGAAACAAATTCCTCGTCTATGCCATTTACGCTCGGCTCTGTTGACGGTTTACTGCGGGTCTCTGGTCGTCTTGATCGTGAAACAAAGGCTAATTATGAATTGACTGTAACCGCTAGAGATCGCGGTGAGCCACCACAAAAATCGCAAACTAAAATTCTTGTGAGAATACTTGATGAGAATGATAATAGGTAAGCGAGCATTGTTGCTATTTGTAACTGGGTCACACGGTTTGTGCTGATGACTTTTTTTTTCTCACTTTTTATAGTCCCGTATTTGATCCAAAGCATTATAGTGCATCTATTGCTGAAAATGCAAGCATTGGTGCAAGTGTGTTGCAGGTGAGAGTCTTAAGCTTTACACATTTCAGAATTCATTAATAAATTTCTTTAAAAAAAATTAAATCTAGGTCTCAGCAACAGACATCGATGAGGGATCAAATGGACGTGTCCGGTTTTCAATCGCGAGTGGTGACGATAATCGTGACTTTAGTATCAGTGAAGATACCGGTGTCGTACGCGTTGCAAAAAATTTAAATTATGAACGTAAATCGCGCTACGTCCTGACAGTTCGTGCGGAAGATTGTGCAAGTGATGTCGGTAGTGGCGAAACGCGTTTCGATTCAGCTGAATTGATAATAACAATCACAGATATAAATGACTGTTCACCAACATTCTTGGACTCACCGTACCTGGCATATGTGATGGAAAATGTTATACCAAATGGCGGTTATGTGATTACAGTTAAAGCTTATGATGCCGATACACCACCATTTAATAATCAAGTGAGATATTTCCTTAAAGAAGGCGATGCAGATCTTTTCAGAATTAATGCGTCGACTGGTGAAATATCATTACTACGAGCATTGGATCGGGAACAGCAAGCTGAATATACATTGACTCTTGTTGCAATGGATACGGGTGAGTAGCGTTTATAATCCTATTATTTCCTATAACATTGAGATCTCTCTGAGGGTAAATATATTGATATTTCGCATAAAAAATTAATCTTAACATGTCACGATACCCATCGTGCTGCATCTCTTTCTCTGTTATTTTTTTTTCCTGTGTTTTGGCTCGCAAAAGAGTGGGATGAGATAACAACATATCAGATTTTTTTTTTTTGTTGCCAGCAAGTAAAAAGCGTGAAATTTCCTCTTGCCTTTGTACCTCTCCAAATAAGCCATGGCGTTCATAAATATTTATTTTGTACTTATCGATTGAACAATCGTATTAATTGAATTTGTCCTACATTGTATTGTACGCGAGAAAATGGTTTTAATATTAATCATACGGGAATATATTGCCGACTCTGCTGGCACAAACGTGATGCTGAATTTTTTAAATCTTGTTAGGAATTTGATAAGGATTATGGGAATAAGAGGTTGTAGTTTTTTTTGTGGGGCATAAACAGTTGGATGATAAATTAGATAGAACGTGGAAGGGATTATGTTTGCTGTGGGCTAGTTTGGTACTTTTGAGCTGGATTTAACTGCAAGTGTGGTCAATTCAGAGATTAAGAAAGTTTTTTAAGTGTTCAGCTAAGTTCATTAATGCCAAATAAATTTTAGATATTTTTTGGGTTTCGAACTACTAGCTTTGATGATTTTAAGTCGAATGACATTACAACCCTAGCAGAAATTTAATAGTAATTTCCTAGTAATTTACTGGATAACTTTCCATTTGATACTTGCTATTTGCTAGTAAACATAGTAGTAGTATTTTACTAGCAAAGTTGTAAAAAAATTAAATGAATATCACAGTTGATTTCCACGTGTTCTTTTAATTTTTCTTATTTGTGTAAATTATTGTACAAGTATTAGTGTGCACTTAGTAAAGTTAATTAATGTACAGTAACACTATGAAAAAAATAAAAGACTTAATTTAATTAAGTCGAACACTGATGAAAGCCCATGACTCGCACGCAAACCTGAAGAAGTAATAATTAATTAAAAGTCACATAAAAATTTGGATCGAAGTTATAAAGGTGATTTCTGCGCGCTCTTGTGAAGTATATGGCAAATGCCAAATTTAAAACAAAATTTTTTATGACGCAAAAAAATTTTTTTTGATGATTTTTCGTAGGGTTCGTACTTAAGCAGATTTGATCAAACATTTCACATGGTAATTTGCTTGTAAGTTGCTAGTAAATAGCAAGTGTAATTTACTAACAGTAAGTTGTTTTAATAATAACTAGGAAATTGCAAGGAGTAGAATAGAAATACTAGAAAATTGCTAGTAACTCCCGCTAGGGAAATTTGTTATCAGGACTAAGATATTAATGAAAGAATGGCAACCTTACCTGCTATTTTATGTGCATTCTATTACATTAAGTTCAGATCAGACTCTAAATGTTGCACAGCATCCAACTCTGCCTCTTAATCCCTACAAAACATGCGCTTCGATAATCCACAAAAAAAAAATTCATAGAACATTTCACTCCAAAATTAAATTCAAAGGCACTAAAAATGGCAATAGAGAAAACCACAAAATACGCTATTTTCGGATCTTTTTCGTATGCCAAACCTTCCAAACCTGTCTACAAAAAAAAAATTAAAATAAAATGCGCATATTTTTCACTTCATACATGAAAGTTCAACGCTAAGAATAGAAAAGAAAAAAAGCTAAATTTGAATATAAAGAATATAAAAGAAGCAGACACAAAAAAAAGCAGAGATGAGACAAATATCACGCACATAAAGAAGTGCCTATGAAAGCATAGAAACAGAAAATTATTTGCATTTAAAATGAGGATGGAAACTATAAGAATTCTCGAAAGCGATTTGTCGAAAAGCATTTTAATCACATTTTTGCATTGTAATACAAAGTAGAAATATGTATCGCACATTAATTCTGTGTTGTTGATTATTCGTATTTAACAAGATGTATTGTAATGAAGTTCTTCATTATACTCTTGAGAATCTTTATTTTACTGAGTCATCGTTATGGCTTGTGTTGAGAATATATTGAAGGTTGAGGGGGATTTAGAGGTTGTAAAATATTGACAGAGTTTTAGATTGCTTTTCTTATTTATATAGAGCAGGATTCTTGTGATTATAGAGCAACCTAATGCTCTAACATACAAAATTGAGTAAAGCTTAACTCCTAAGATCCATATGTTCATAAATATACCCTAATCATCAAGGTATAAATGTCTTCCAGCTGATTTGATCCAAATTCACTATACTAACCTTCAAATCCTTCGAATGGCGCCAACAACATCCATCCAATCCCACATAATCCTCCATAACTTCTACTAAACCTCAAAATGACCTAAGTCATTGAATCAATAAAAATTTTCACAACTTTATTTAATAATATAAAAAAATTATAAGAAGATTTTGCAATAATTTCAACTTTATTATTATTCTTATAAGAGGGTAAATTTATCTCGCCTACTCGCTCATTTAAGTCTATTGAATACGTAAATAGCTAAAACTTACAATAGTTTCGAAATAATCTAGAATTAAGTCATTTTATTACTCATAATTATAGTGTATTTAGATAAATGGAAGGCATTTAAAGACGATACACGAGCGAGCTGCAAGAAAAATTTCAAAAATGCCTGATCAATTGGAAATTCACTGAATAAATAAATAATCTTCATTTTGTGAACATCGAAGTGAATGCAATGTTTGTGTTTTGTTGGGTGTGCTGGTTTTGATGGGAAAGGTGGTGTAGTTTCAGGCTGTTTGTCTTTTTGGGATGATTGAATGGTGGATAGTCTTGGACACTAGTAGAACATGGGATCTAGAAGGGTTCTAGCTTTATGAATTGGACTATTTTGATGAATAGCTATTTTCGGGATCCTAAACTCAAATATCCTCTCTAAAAACCTAAAGAACTTCTATAAATGTCTTGAGCCAACCAAATATTCCTGATTAACATCATCTAAATCATTAGATTAGTGCGCATCTTCACCCAATCCATCTCCAGCAATACCATTACTTACTCCTTTTTCCCTCTATCTCAATCGCTTCTCTCCGACTTGTGCAACAATAATTTATCGATAATTTAATTGCTTCAGACAGCAAAAACAAATAGCTAAGCATTTATGAAAGAGATGTAATATTGAAAAAGGGAAGGCATAGATAGAGAATATTTTAACATATACAAATTGCATACCTCATATAAACACAGACATAGCGATATGATTTTTTTTGCTTCTTTGTTCTATCGGCAGGGGGAATTATTAATATATGGTAATGTTATTAAATGTTTGTTTTATAATTCAAATTAATCAATAAAAGTTGAAAATTTTCATAAATCACTTTGAGTTAAATGGCATGAAATAAAAAATTGTCGTGGTCGGTAAAGTTGAAATTTTTCTAGTTGGTAATTTGTGTCATGGAATTTATAGTTGGACAAATGAAATTGTATTTATGATAGACAAAAAGTCATTTTTTACAATATTGAATTTCCAAGAAACTTGAAAGCTTTTGAAGGCATTAGCTTTGACTTTTGGGATTGAGTATCAATCATTTAGTTTTTATTGGAATTAATGATAATTTAAAGCAAAATAAATGGTCCGAAACTATACTCGAAAAATGTCAACATCCGCAAGAAATTAGAAATGCAAATTTATATAATATGCATTTGTGGTTTAGGTTCAGGTCCTATAATATTTTTAAATATAATTAATTTAATCGGTTAAGTTTTTATTACACTTTTTTGTGCTTCAAATTGAAAATGTAGAGAGCTTCGCAATTCAAGCGATCAGGGGCGTAGCCAGAAAATTTTTAAGGGGGGGGCCCATTTTCAAAAATTAAAAAACCGTTATTTTGTATCCTTAAATCTATAGTCATTCTTCATAAATTTAAATATTTAATTCATTATTCATACATTAAATTTAATTTTACGTGCTGATTTTGACATTTCTTTCATCAATTCCTATCCATTAACTGGTTCTTCTCTATAAATACTTAATAAAACAATTATCAGATTTTCGGAGGGGGGGCCCGGGCCCCCTATGGCTCCGCCCCTGCAAGTGATGGTTCAAATCCCGATATTCAATCTAAAGACATCTTTTTTGATAATAAAAAAGCATTCATTTGAATTTTATTTTTATTTTACCAACTCTGCAACACACAAAACCAGTAAAACCCAAACACAAATCAGAAAGTTACCAACAAACCAGTATAAACTTGTACGATTCCTTATCAGTCATTTAAAAGTAGATAAAGCTCCATTATTCACATTCACTTTGTATTTTTATAAACTGCCCTCCTTGCCACTTCTAATTCCTCCGTCAGATAGAAAGTAACAATAACAATTAATAAAAGTCACACATCAGCAAGCACGGCTGCAGATATTTCCATTCCAACAACATAATAATCTGTAACTGAATTGCAGTCAGCTCATATCTCAGTATGAGATTTTTATTCTCTCACTCTCAACATTGCTCATAAAAGTGCATACCATAAGCCACCAACCACATTGATTGAAATGGAAGTGCATAATTAATTTAAGTCTATGTACCTGCGAGCATTCATTCATTAAAGACGAATGGAGAATGAAAATCGATAAAAATCATTTTTAATATAAAAATTTGCAGACTATAATATCTTAACTTGATGAATATTTTTCATATTTTATTTTTCTTATGTCTTATCTTATTCGCTTTCCTATTTTAACTAAAGCATAATTAATTAAATGTGGAAACGGCAAAGCATGTTGTGTCCAAGTTTGGAATGCCATTCCGGAGCCTGTTTTTCCCGTTTATGTCCGACAGTTGATAAAATGTGAACAATTAAAATTTTCACACCCAATTGCAGTGGAGGAAAAAAAATAAACAACAACAACGCAAGCAGGCACAATTCTGAATTGACATTGCGCTATAATCAGTCAAAGGAATTGTTACATTTTACAATGTTGTTTACCATTTTTATGCGAAGCTATTCTAAGAATGAAGTGTGATGTTT